ATATTTGTTTATGGTTAAAAATTAAATTAAATATAATTAAATAATAATTATATTGTTAATTTCAGCTGTTCCATTAGGTGTCGCCACCATATTTGCCATTTGTTTTACATCGTATATTTAATTATATTATATTTTTTTCAGTGTAACCATTACAGTAATGAGAATTTTATGGGAAATTCTCATATAAATTGTTATATATGGCTTAATTGTCATGAAAAGGGGGATGCAATTTGACCTTGATGTGTTTTGAGTTAATATTAACCAGTAATTTTGTTTCTCTGGTATCAGGACATGCTTGCCCTTCAGATCATCGGTCTCTTCAAGAACATCTTCCAGCTGGTGGGTTTGGACCTGTTCGTGTTCCCGTACCGGGTGGTGGCCACCGCTCCTGGAGTGAGTGTCATTCCAGCTTCCTGTCAGACTTCCTGTTCCTGACCTGCTGAAGTTCTGCTTACCTGGATTTCCTGTTTGGTTCTTTTCAGTGTGGCGTGATTGAATGTATTCCGGACTGTAAGTCCCGCGATCAGCTCGGTCGGCAGACTGACTTTGGCATGTACGACTACTTCAGGAACCAGTACGGGGACGAGTCCACACTGGCCTTCCAGAAGGTGACAAACATTTGCTTCAGTAAATTTCATAGATTAGATATAATTGGTTTTTGCACAGAAAGCTGACGTTTGTATTGAATTGCTCATGCAGCTCTGATCATTTATTTCTTATACGTCTTGTGTAATGTCTCTCTTTCTCTCTCTCAAAGGCTCGGTATAACTTCATCCGCAGTATGGCCGCATACAGTCTGCTGCTCTTCCTGTTACAAATCAAAGACCGACACAATGGTAACATCATGCTGGACAGCAAAGGCCATCTCATCCACATCGGTGAGTCAGGTTAAACCAAACTAGCTTAACTTAAAGATGCCACATTCTTTGGTAGCATTTTATATCCAGTCATGGTTTCTTGCACCATAATTTAGACTATTTTCCTCCCTTTTTTCTACCATTTTATTCAAACAGGCTGTTTTTGCTACTGTACATTTAAGATATGTAAATGATATGTAAAATTTTATTTTAAACATAAAATATATGTAAAATATAAAATAAAAGCTAAATCAAAATATAAAACAAAAATAATAGAAATGATATCTTAATATTCTGTTTTGGTTTTTATTAATATTTTGAATTAGTTTTTATTTTAATTTTAGTTTTTTTTTTTTTATTTGTTATGTGCTTCTGCCTTTTCGTGTTTTTTCTTTTTAAATATTACTATTATTAGGTTTATTTTTATTTCAGTTTTAGTACAGTTTTAGCTTTTATTTATATCCAATTTGTCTTTTTTTTGCTTTACCTTAAACTTATTTCAGTTAGTTGCCAAGGCAGCATTTCTAATTTTTGTTTAGTTTGTTTTTCATCTAATATTGATATTTTAAGGTAATGACAGTAACCCTGGTAACCACTACATATTCATGTTTTTTAATAGTATGTCTCTAGTACATCATACAAGGAACATTTTCATCGTGTACCCCTTAATTATCCCATTCTTGCAATAAAAACTCAAATTAAACTAAATTAAAAAATGTTTTATTAAATTAATTTTAAATTAACTTCAGACTTATAATTAACTGTCAATACACTTAAAAAAATTAAATTTTTAAAAATATTAAATACATTAACATAAAATTTTAAACACTTTTATAAAAGG